CCATCTTCACCTTACCCTGTGCCCTCCCCATCACCCACCAGTCAGTTCTCCGCCTTGGCCAATGGAGCTGTGGGGAATGATCAGGGGCTGGGTTTGTCCACCAGCCCTACCCACTGGGGTAAGAAGTGTGTGGGGGGGGCACAATGACACCACCCTAATCACCCCACTGGGTGGATTTTGCTTCTTACTCACGAATGTTTTAGTTGAACTCCAAACAATTTTTCAAATAGCATTCTTTGAAAATCTTATCGATCTGTAAATTTTCCTGTTACTTGCTAGGTATAGAGCAATGGTTTTGCTTGGGAAGGTGAGAATGACAGCAGAATTGAGTATTCAACGAGAATTTCATTGGATCAGTTTGCTTTTGTTTTACTATTTTTTGTGAAATATATAGCTTTCCCCATGCCTAAGAGCAATAGCTAACCAAACTCATTGTTATCAAATTAATACTGACTCATAGTGACCCTGTAAGACAGGGTAGAACTGGTCCTGTGGGCTTCTGAGACAGTAGCTGTTGATGGGAATAGAAAAGCCTCGTCTTTTTCTTGCCGAGGAAACTGGTCTTTTCAAACAGCTGACCTTTTGGTTAGCAGTCCAATGTACAACCACTATGCCACCAGGGCCCCCGCCAACTATGCGTTAGAAAGGACTCCTTAGCACCTCACAGCAAGAGGAACAGTCAGGCATGCAAAGTTCAGAAAATATAGAAATACGCACAATTAGCTGCCCTGCCTCGTTTTGATCAGTTGTTGCAGCGAGAGGCAGAGAATCCAGTGATGGGAACAACCGACCAAACACCTCCCTTGCCTGCTGTAGTGCTGGCAATGGCTGCTCCTTCCGAAGCAAGGTGGCATCTGTATTTCCTGTGTGTGTCCGAGAACAGAACACTCTTACTTTCATCTGAAAATATCCATTTTATTTGGAAATCCTGAGGGTTTTTTGTTGACCACAATTCATGAGACTATCGAGCTCTTTATGAAATCCTGGTGGCAGAGTCGTCATGCACTGGGCTGCTAACCACAAGGTCAGCTGTTTGAAGCCACTGGCCGGTCCATGGGAGCGAGATGAGGCTTTCTACTTCCCTAAAGGGTTCCAATCTCAGAAACTGACAGGGAGCAGTTCCATTCTCTCTTATGAGTTGGCATCTACTCAATGGCAGAGATTTTAAAGCTTGCTTACCTTTGAGCCACCATGTTGGCCAGAATTGGAAGCTGCTGTAAATTACCTAATGATTTTCATCCCACACCTAGAGACAGAATATACAGGGGTTCACTGTGTGTGTGCGCACCTACACACAGGCACACATATGAGAAATACTCGACATGTTGATTGCTTCAACTTCTAATATTTTCCCAAGGGAACGACAACAACAAACTAGAAGAAGAGCCGAGAAAAGCATTGGGGGGTGGGGTGGAGAAATACAGAAAGCATGGTGAGGAAGCATTTGGGGAATAGAGGTCACCAAAGATCGAGAAGTCAGGCTGCTCTTGAAAGCCCACATCTGACATGTGGGTTAAGCCTTTCCCAAGATTCCCAAGATACGGTCATGCCATTTGTTCAACAAATATTGAGTGTCTGCTACGTACGTGCAGGGCACTGGGTGGGGGAGGGAATGAGTCAGCTAAAACTCCTTGTTCTGAAGAAACTCTCCATCCGGTAGAGGTCAGGGTGGTTGTGTCAACAGGTAATAATGGCAGAGGAGTGGGAAGCAGGTTTGTTGGGGAAATGTAGTGTTTGGTGCCAAATAAGATGATGGGAGAGGGCCTGGAGCCACCCTGGAGACATAATTACTAAGTTCAACGGTGAGGCTGAAGTTCAATTCAGATGTTCACCTTCAAGATAAGAGGAATATTAAGGCAGAAAAATGGGGAGGGGATGCTCAGAAGAACATGGAGCGATTGGAGGACAGAGGGGAGCGCTGGTCTAGCCCTGTTCCCATGGTTGGTTTTGAGACCCCAATTGCTAATGCTTTCTTCCCAGCCCTGTCAGAGCCTGGTCAGTGGTAATCACACACAAGCTGAGCA